TCCTTCTACGAACTTTGATATTTGCAAATATCTTTCAATATTATCATATCCAGCATTTTCCAAGCATGTTTTTGTTAAAAGCTCAAAAATATGATATGGATCAACATTCCTGGTCTTCATTTATCCTTCCTGCTATCTGCTAAACGTCCTGCTTTCTTTTGCTGTCTTGAAGCCCGAGTGAATCTGAGTCTTGGTTTGTCGTAAAAGAATTTCTTAATATGAAGGAATTTGTACCTTTGCTGTAAACACGGCCCGAATACTGAAAGCAGCTAACTTTGGAAATAGTTATCACCTACTTGTGAACACTTTCTTTGGCAAACCTCTGCTTTTTGCAAAAAACATCTTATGCATTCTAAACTAATCTATGACTGGAGATTTAGAAAAACATAAATGATGATGGTGATGATATTTTTTTTTAAGCATGCAGCTATTATATTGTTCATAAATTTCTGGCTTTGGGATCAAGAGATTTTATGAGGCAGCATGTCAAAGAAGACTCACAGAACTCCCTGTCCCTCTGCTTGACAGAAGTTGCTTTTGTGGCTTAGGCCTGTCATTCTCCATTAACCTTCAGTCTCCTGATGTGTTTGCTTCTTTTTCTTCGCCATCTTCCTCTTCCTCTTACTATCATCCCTGTCATATTTTTCTGTCCCCTTTTCAAAACACTGTCGCTTACTGTTGAGATCATTGGAATGACGAACTACCTTTTTTCCAAGTTTGGTGGAGCCGATATTCACTCTGGATACTCTCTTCAGTTTGAATTTTGCTGGTTTGTCGGGCTCTTTTCGTCATGCATGGGTCCACATTTTCCTACTACCTGTCAACTCCCCACTGTGTGCCCACCTGTGTAACCTACATAGAAGATCTAAAATTACAGCAACTTACCTTCTTTTATATCTCATTGTGTGTTCTTGGACACTTACTATGTACAGTATGTTTTGTAATAGACCTTTTTCTTCTACAAAAAACACATATCTGTTAGAGAATACCTTTCAAAAGGGTTTATCCCACCTTGAATGTTTTCCTTTTGTGATTTTCAACCAGACTTTAAAGTATTTTGATTTTATCTGACAAACACTACTTAGCACATAATGTAAAATGGAAAGAAAAGGTTACAAACGGTTTGCATTAAAGGTTAGAATGTAGTAAATTCCATTTTGTTGCTGTTGCAGCTGTATAGGCTTAGCACAATCCATTTATTAGGTTAACCTCTGTCTCTTTGTAGCCTTTAACCAATTACATGAGTTTTGAATGGCAGTGGTTGGAATAGTGGCAAAATAAATAGAGATTTCTGGGTTTACAGATTACATATTAAATATTTTATTGTAATATAAAAAGTAGATTGTTTTGCACTACTTAGCCCTGATATATTCACACAAAATGCAATACAGTTTGATATTGGAATACCAACAATAATATCAGATGAAGACAGGAGAGCTATGACAAAGAGCTCTTCATTGGCTTTATTTGTGAGTGAGATTCTCTTGTGTTTAGCCAGTAGAGGGGCCCGCTGAGCTGGTCCCATTGGTGCTATCCCGCTTCATTGGGACAGGAGAGCTGGTAAGCGGGGTACAGGCAGGGGGGTGATTGAGAACCTCTGTGTGTCTATGTGTGTGTTTTCACGATGCAGAGAGGAGCACTGCAGCAATTGGAGAAAGTAGGTCAGACACCGACTAGTGAGAGAAATCGAAGAGGAGAGGTTGATAGGAGAGATGGAGTAGAAAAGGGAGGAAGGGAGGAAGATGAGGGTAAACTGCCGAAGAATGTGGAAAAAATGAGGACAGGTGTTTTTAAAAAAATAAAATAATTCTAAAGAAAAGTTGAATGGTGTAACTGCAGAAGATCCAGCTACAAGAATTTTTTTTCAACACACTATTTAAGCAAACTTTTTTGCTTCAGACTTAACAATGATTGTCTGACCACTCCCACAGTGCTGCAAGAGTAAAATATATCTAAATAAATAAATAAAATCCTTCAAAAATAAATAATTAAAGCAATGCTGTGCCCTTTCAATTAACTTAGAAGTAAAGAAATATGCATCAATATAAACACTGATAAATATAAGTATTCAGCCACACTATGGCTGAAGTAAACATTTATACTAGGCAAGGCAAGGCAAATGTATCTGTATAACACAATTCAGTACAAAAACAATGCAAAGTGCTTTACATGACTAAAATATAGGAAAATAAAACAGAATCAAAGCAAGTAGGAAAAAATAAATAGAATAAAATAAAAAATGCAGAAACGAAAAAGAATATTAAAAACAGTTGGACTAAAGAGAATAAAAATGTTGAACTAATGATGTTACCAGGAGAGGTAACTAGAGCGGCAGCACCTGGGCCACGCATTGTTTGTCCCACTTCCATCTGAAGAACCATTCGGGATCATCCCATCAGAAGCAAACACATTCAAGAACAGTTTCTTTGACTGTAGTTGCAAAGGCAATCATCCCACTGAGACCGACACTATACATCCCTCCTGAAAATCCACTAAACCTCCTGTCCATTTTGTGGACTGTTAAAGCACCAGCTGCACTTGATGTAAATACTGCATGTTGCAATCCATGAAAATATGTTCTTATTTCATATATCAGGTCTCTATGGATGCTGTTTTTTTATATTTTCTATGAGCGCTTTAGCTAGCAAGCATAAGGATCAGAAAAAAGTGTTTCTCTTATGCTTCTGAGTAACTCATAGTTTGTGTTTATGTGTGTGGGAGGAGCGGTGGGGAGCAGAGAAAGAAGTGAAATTAAGTTTTGGGTGGTTTCACTCAAGTTTCTTCCATGAGGCTGAGTTACAGTGCTTGGTTCTGCCCCTTGCACTCCCTCCCTACCAGCCAACCCTGCAAGCATGAATGTTTACTGTAGTGTTGACTTCAAGTCTTCCAACAGAAATGATTTGTGCTTGTATAATTTTCAAATCAAAGATAGGAATAATAGAAATTTGGCCACCAAAGTAAGAAACAACAAAGCAAAACCATTATCAAAGAAACAGTTTGCAGTTTATGGTGGGAACAGCTGATCTAAAGGGGAACCCACCCCTCTCCCATGACCGCCCATGTTACCTAGGCTAAATTGCAGCTGAATTATATGATACAACCAAAAAACTCTAAAATTGGAACTGTCTATTAAATTAACATTTAACTGCATAGTGATTTTAGTCCAACACTTCAGTCTTCCTCTCTGAGTGGTCTTTTAGCTTTAGTTTCCTGTGTAAGTAGTCTCTTACCACCTTCATCCAGCATCTTCTGGGGTTGATATTCACATTATGCACCAAAGTACAGTCTTCGTAGGGATGCAGAACCCATCTCGTCTTATACAGTAAGAGTCATTTGAATTAGATTTATGAAATAATCCACCAGAAGTTGTAGAGTTGTAGAGCCATAGCACAATCATGTAAGTTTTCCCAAATGGTTTACAGTAATATTAGTACATGTGAACTCCTGAATTTAAATACTGAGAAAATTAAATAAAATAATTGTCTGCCTTATTATTTGATAAAAAAGTGTAACTGTACCTAAAAGCAAAATCTTAGTCTTTTTTTTGTCAGATGTTGAGAAAAAAAAGTTTCATCCGTAAATTCATATCTGGTTTAAATTGTGTTTCTTTGCTAATCTCCTATTTAAATGCTTGGGCTTAGAATGTTAAATCTGCTGCTTTGTCTGTCTGTCTCTGTCATAAGGGCAAATAGGAAATAGTGTGTAGGCCTTTATTCAGTTTCCAATTCAGAGAAACTAAAAGAAAAAGTGAGACTTTTAAGTGAAAGAAAGTGAAAGTGGCTTGCTCCATTTGTTAGAGATCTGGCCTCTTCTTAAAAGTATTTTCCTCTTCATGTTACATAAGTCCATAATGTCAAAAATACATGCATCACACGCATAATACACTTAGCCTTCCCTATATATATGGACTCCACTCAAGTATGAATTACCTCTCTGTTCTGCTCCTTGGGCTATGCTTGTATTTTTTTTATTATTTATCTGAAAAAGCACAAAGTATACTGCATCTATAAATATACTGCAGGGCTTGTGGGAATGGGCCACAAACTGGAAAAAAGCCTGGCCGTATACAATAAGCACATACGAAAACTCAGAAGATCCAAAAACAGAGTTGGGAAAATGAACATCAGAGTTGGAGCTTATTATTTCTACTGCAACTAAAATTAAATGTTGGGTTTCAACCAAATTTTCATAGCCTTTATTCCAACAGCCAAAATTATCTTTGTTGCATCCAAGGTGAAAAGAAATGTAGACTTCTTTTAGCAGGCTGACAGTCTTTGCACAGGGGGAGCAAAGCATTAGCATGTGTACCATACAGCAGAGGAAAACTCTGTTCATCCATGCATTTTTCTTGGCATCCTCTGACAGAATATCTTCACATATTTTAACCCTTCATCATCCAAGTTACCATTTGTGGCATATTGGATATAAATACCAATTTCTAGCAAACAAGGCAACATCGTGAGGTCAAATGTTCTCTCAAGGGTCTTTAAAATTCAAAGCATTTCACAGAGTGCACTATAAAAGGTTGAAACAAGTCCTTTTTATAACATAAGTCTAAGTTGATACAGCCATTTTTCCGGCTGTTGTTAGTGGTTTAAAAAGTAATTAAAAGATACAAGGATCCCCAAGAGGTAAACTCACCCTTAAAAATATCGCTTTAGGATGTTCTTTGTTCTGCCAAGCAAAAGAAATAAGATTTGCAACAACTGAAAGTAACATAAAATACACTGGCATCACAGCGTTTCTGTATGCAGGTGGACAAGTTTATAAGAATTCTGGTCAGTTTGGAAGGAAGTATATATTTTTGATAAAAAAAAAAAAGGTTTGTAAAGATTGATATTTTTTCTCTCAATCATCTGTCTGTTTTCTGTCTCCATCTCTCTCTCTCTGTAGCTTTGCCCTCACTCATTTCTTGTTCTTGTCTCACTTCTTGTGTTGTTTACCTAAATGTAATAACAATTAAAATTATTCTTTCTCCCCTCTACCTCCTTTTCTTCCAGTATGTGGCATTTATTTCCCTCTTCTTCATCCTCATCTCCATTTCGACATTCTGCATGGAGACGCACGAGGCCTTCAACACCATCCTAAACAAGACAGAGAACGTCACGCATGGCAACACAACCCGTGAGGAAATAGTGTACGAAGTGGTGACTGACAGCTGGTTGACATACGTTGAAGGTGTATGTGTCATTTGGTTTACAATTGAGGTCTTGCTGCGAGTCATCTTCTGTCCAGACAAGTTGGAATTCTTCAAAAGTGCCCTCAACATCATCGACTTTGTTGCCATCCTGCCCTTCTACTTGGAGGTTGGCTTGAGCGGTCTCTCCTCCAAAGCTGCCAAGGATGTCTTGGGGTTCCTCCGTGTTGTCCGATTCGTCCGTATCCTTCGAATCTTTAAGCTCACTCGTCACTTTGTGGGTCTCCGTGTCCTCGGCCACACCCTTCGTGCCAGTACCAATGAATTCCTCCTCCTCATCATCTTCTTGGCCCTCGGAGTCCTCATCTTTGCCACTATGATCTACTATGCTGAGCGAATTGGGGCAGACCCAGAAGACCCTACTGCCAGTGCCCACACCAACTTCAAGAACATCCCCATTGGATTTTGGTGGGCCGTGGTGACAATGACCACATTGGGTTATGGTGATATGTATCCGGAGACATGGTCAGGAATGCTGGTTGGTGCGCTCTGTGCCTTGGCTGGTGTGCTAACCATTGCTATGCCCGTACCTGTCATTGTCAACAACTTCGGCATGTACTATTCTCTGGCTATGGCCAAGCAAAAGCTGCCCAAAAAGAAGAACAAACATATCCCTCGTGCACCTCAACCAGGTTCACCAAACTACTGCAAGCCGGACGCCCTAGCAATGGCTACTGCATCACCACAGAGGATCTTGGGAAATGTCTTAGGTGGAGTGATGGGATCTGGTGGTTTAGGGGGCGACTGTCCTCTTGCTCAAGAGGAAATCATAGAAATCAATAGAGGTGAGAAGTTTTTTTTTCTTGTTATTTATATTTATTCTCCTCCCATTTTCTTCCATTCACAGATACAGTTCTGGTAAATTGACTCTTGAGTTCTTGTGTTCTTTAGACTTAAAGCATTAGAATCTCAAGAGAAAGAAGTGGGAGTGATATCAAGCAGTGATGCGGGGGTGATTCTCGCACCACTCTAGAGAAATCACTGGCCCATCAGAACTGATGTTTAATTTATGATCAACTAGTAGGTTCACAGTTGCCTTAAGGCTTCCATCTGCCATGATGCACAATCGCAATAGGAGGAAAATGAACTTAATTATCTGTTAAAACAGCCTAATGCATCTCAGTTTTGGCTGACTTCACAGTTTTTTTCCTCTGCCATTAGCAGTAAAACTGCCTCAGCATCAAACTTCAGGCCCATGCCCCAATAATCCACCTTTAAAGCATTAGCATGAGTTGTAAAGTGGCTGTTTCCTCAGTGCTCTCTGAATATCTTGCCAGCAATGGCTGGAGTCAAGAATATTAAGAGCTCTGTCTATCCGTTGGTTTTGTTTTTTTGAAACAGAAACTTCCCAAAAAGTCTACTGGATGTCTATATCTTAGCACTAAGTGATGCTCGTGTTTTCATTGTCTTTTTAATCAATGTTTGGTCTTATAAAATGTTGAAATTTTGTAATCTCAACTTTACATCTTCAGTGTGAAGATCAGGATTTTTAAAACATGAGCAACCAAAAACTTTTAGAGAACTATATTGATACATTTGGCCACAGGTTTGAAAGAAATAACAATGTGTATGAATGAAGTTAGGGTAAGAATATTTTAGTTTTGGCTCCAGGTAACTGGCGACCTCACCATCCCTGTGTCACCATTCCTGTTTCCATTTTGAATCAATTACCAAATCAATTATTAGCCATATATTTAAGCAAATTCCTATCACTTTATTTATTTTAAATAACTTTGTCAAAGTTATAGTATTAAATATACTCTTTCCATGAACATTAGTTTTATTCAGGGTTTAGAACATCAGAGTGAAATGACATCTGAAGCTCAATATACGTCTCAAAGTAGTTTTGATATCATTTATTTGAGAGTGAGATATACACCCATGCTTTTGCCTGAGCTTAAAAAGACATAACTTCTTCTAACTGCTTTTTAATCAGACTGACCTTTTTCTTTTTTATCAAATTATTTTTATTTGTTAAGAGCTAGAATTTTGAGAGTTTATTTTTCCATCATGTTTCAGTAGCAAAAAAAGTTCAAAATGCTGCACATAAAAAAAAAAAAGAAATAAAAGGTAAACAGACAGAGGCCTGCATTGCAGTGACAACATAGATTATAGTTACCTTTACCTTTAAGTATCCTATTACATCTATGCAAAATTTTTGGCATCCTTAGAACCATTTTCTTCTACTTGGTTGATGTTGAAACAGTTTTCTTCAATGTTTGCACACAATGTTTTCCGTTTGATTTCTATTTTGTGACGTCCACAAGTAAGTTTGTTAAATAACCCCACAGAGTAGTGATGCCACCCCTCTTCTTAGAATGGTCTCTAAGCTTGCATGTTTTCTAAACAAAATAAGGCTTTGATGGGCTATTGTAAAAAATCTCAAACTCAACGCTATTCTTGACATTTTGAATTGAAAAAGCATCCTGGATGGGAAGCGAAACGTCTTTAAACTTGGAAAGTCCAGTGGATTATTTTTTTTTACTTTCTTTTAAAAAACTTTTTTGGAATAGTTTCTAAGGCTTTCAAGCTCCCCTTTCCCCTTCAAACATAGCAGTGCTCATTTTAATCCAACACTTAAATATTACTTTTATCAGATAAACAGGCAAATTTGAATAAGATTTGAACTGATTCATATTAATGTATGCAGAAAAAGACACTTGTTTTTGAAGCAGAAAAAGTCAGATATGGGAACACAAAAAAATAAAGTTATAAACTGGTTTTACTTATATACTTTTATGTATTACTTATAGGTTGTCATGATGTAAAAATGACTAAAAATATATTCACAACTTGTCTCTGTTTTTCACTGCTATTTTTTTTTTTTTACTATAATTTTCTGACAATAAACCTCCATTGCTGTGAATTCTTACCTTCCTCCAGATTCTAAGCAGAACGGTGATGCAGCCTCGGCTGCTTTGGCTAATGAGGACTGCCCAACCATTGATCAGGTGCTGAGCCCGGACGAACGGAGTCCCATTGGGCGGGGCCCCACTCGGGAACGTTACCAGCAGGACCGAGCTTGCTTCCTACTCAACACCAGGGAATTCCGTGCCACAGATGGGAATGTGCGGAAAGGTACGTTTCGCACCAGGAGACGGAAATGTGAAATGCAGTCCTCATGTAAACATGTCCACACAGCAAGATGCCAGGCACAGTATGCCGTGGGCATAAACATTATCCACTGTGCAACCACTAAAGATAAAGTGCTTGCAGGGAGCTATATGTTTATAAGACTAAGAAGAAATACAGCGCATGGATGCAGATTCCAGTTCAACAACCCACACACGTATACAGTCATATGGTTGCAACACATGCATATACATCTTGCTCTTCTGCTCTGCTATCTTTGTTTCCACCTCTTCATATTCATGTTGTCTGTTTTTCCATCACCGCTTTGATTCACATTTGATTTATTCTGTCACATAAGATTCTTTTGTGATAGTATTTTTCCTCTTTTTTCCTTTATACATGGCCTTGGCCATGTTCTCCATCTTTCTGTGGTGTCTCTGAATCTTTTTGTCCCATAATATGTCACATTCACTCAGACTCAAAAGTGATCTTTCCTTCTCTGTCTTCTGGACTCAGACAGTTGACCATGCATTAATTTACTTCTCGTCACTTCTGTTTCTCCCTGTCTGTTTCTCTCTCCCTCTCGCCTCACACTATTTTATTTGACTGCCCCCCCCCCACCACCACCCGTTTTTCCATGATTTTCCTTCCCTAACCCCCCTATTAACCCTGCATCCTCCCAACCCCACCTGGATTACTCCCTGCCTATGCTTTCCTCTTCCCTTTCCCTTGTCGCTGCACCATCCCTCCTCTTGTTTCATTTTCCCCCCAACTTGCATTATCCCCATTCAATTCTGGCACTACCATTCATTTAATGCTGCAATCTGACCACTGCCACCGATCTGCACCGACAAAACACTCCCTTTCAAACTTCCAATGCCCCCCCCCCCCCCCCCCCCCCCCCTTCTTGTTGATAACAAACTACTTTAGAGGCAGCAGCCCTGGCTCCCAGCCCACACTCCCCTCTGACTGAGGATTGGTATAAGATGGAGGGGTCTCTGTTACAGCAGGACCTCAATGCAAACTCCACCTCCTCCTGGATCAAACCATAGCCCAGAGGTAACACTGAAATCAGTTTAAAACTTACAAATGAAAAGCCCATAACCTGGTTCTTTTTTAGTGAAGGTATTTAATTTGGCTCCCCAGAAGAGTGGCGCCCCCCTTTACTCAGGGCAACAAAATCAATGTATGACATGAAATCCCAGATACACAAATATTTAATCTTTGCTATGTTAAGCTGGAAGCCGCTTATCTGTGGCTGAAAGTGTGTTTCCCTATGAAGGTTCATTCCAACAGGTTAGCAATCTTAGCCCAACATCCTGCCTGCAAAAACTTGTCCTTTATGGTTCCATAAAGTCAGGAACCATTTCGTTACAATATATAAGGTGCAAAGGAAAATGGGATTTGCAACACCCAAAATGACTGCAAATGTTTTGTATTTGTGTTTGTGAATGTGTGAGTGCCTTAAACCTGCAGTCATGAATGCAGGATTGCATCTATATAGGTATGCTAAACACATCCAGCAGCTCAAGTGAATATAACCCAGTTATTGTGTTCTGTGTTAGTATCTAATCTTAAAGAAAAAAAAGAAATGAAGCGGGAACAGCGGGTCACCTTGTTGTCTGATGTGCCTCTGTGTTGTTGTTGTCTCTCTCTTCAGGTTGTGTCATATCACGCGTGTGTATGTGGGCTTTTTCATTCTTACGTGTTTATAGACTGTGTCTCTGTCCCCCCGGTGGCGTCCGAGTGTCGTGTTTGTGTTCTCGTTTGTGGCTCTACTTCTTTTTTCCCTTCTAATGTGTTTATTCACATTACTCCCTACCTCACAGACCTGCACCCTGGTAAACAACAGCACTTATTAAAATCTAATGCTCCAAACCAAAGCACAATATACATGGATGCAACAGAGCATATACAGTTATGTTTGTTTTATAATTCTATCTTATGCACTTTTATATTAAAATATATATTTTAATGCATGTACAGTACAGTACAGGATTGTAAATCCACCCTCCAAAAAGCAAGAATTTCTTTTATTCTTAAAAAAAAACAAAAAAAAACTGGTCTTGCTTATAGTTTCTCCAGGTTTTGTGAAATTGTTTCAGATTCTGGCTTTAGATAGTTTCTGCTCTGTTTCTATCCATAGCTCATACAAAGCTTACAATATAGGGTTGCTTTAATCAAACAACTATGACTGGCAGAAATAAGAGACAATATGTAAATAATATTAGTTGATTTACATTGAACCAGCCTGAATTGGATAGTACGGAAGAGGATTAGGGCCACTGGAAAAGAAAAAAAAAAAGGTTACTGATTTTTTTATTTTGTTTCAGTTTAGTACGGAAAAAAGTCTGAATTATGACTTTAATCTCAGAATTATGAGATTAAAGTCAGAATTCAGACTTTAGCTACATTACACTCAGATAAAATTAAAAAATCAGTGAACTTCTTTTTGTGGTCCTAATCCTCTTCAGTATGAATGTTTTTTCCACCTTTAAAATCATTTGAAACTGCATTTTGTACTTAATCTAATTATATCTTTCTGACCTTAAAACTTTATATTTTATGTCGGTTTGTCTATATGGTCAAACACTTTACTACTTGTTTATCTTTGACCTGTACAATGATACCCTGCTTTAGTAAATAACATTTAAGGATCAACCTTCTATTTATCTGATACTATAATAAATTGTATTTGACCCCTTCCAAGACAAAGTTGCTATAGATCATCTGGACATGACATGCCCCAAACATAATGACACAGTGATGTCATTTATACCTCATATATACAAGACTTCTGTGCAATTTATGATCAGCTATGTAAAGGCCATGATTTTTTTACTTTAATCTGTTGCTACATAGTGTGGATCCTCTATCTTCACTAATTATATTTTTTTCCTTAGAGAAAAATTGGACTAAACTCATGGGTACATGCTTAAAAACTATAAAATGTGTTGTGATGTAGTACATCGGTCTGCAAAAGGGGTAACCATACACACATTTTCCCCTTATGCATGCAGTAAAAGCTAATCATAAATAATAGACATACAGACAACAGGTAGTACTTGTGTTCCACACAGGACTTGATATTTCACAAAAAATGCTTCATTTATTCTCAATTAGGCAGCTGTAAAATGTCTTTTCAGATGTGACAGCATATGTAGCAGGATTAAAAACAGTGTTACAGAAGTTAAAGAGATTACAAAAATATAAATCCTTTAAAACAAGTAATTAAAGGAGGACTAAAGTCTTTGGACTGTACTGTACATGCTGAACATTTAGTAGGATTTTACTACTTAAAAACAAATAATATCGTGCTGTATGTCAGTTTCCCATGGCTTAAGGTTACTGGGGTCAGTGGAGTCATCCATGTCAAGGGATAGCATCTCTGGACCCATGGCACGCTGTAAATGAGCAACTTTGCTGCATTTTAATACGTGTATTAAACAGTAACAAAATATGTCCACTACAACACTGACTAGGTAACTTACAAAGTATTTTGCCATGAGCGTGTGATGGATCTGAAATACTATTCGCTAGACGGTGTGAGAGTGCTTTCAGTGCCTGGTGTAGTGCAGACCTTTATAGAAAGTGAAAAAGGCATATATGCTGCACTCGGCGACTGAAACACTTACTGAATCTTACTGACCAGACAGACAAATGCTGTGACAGGTTTGACTAACAAGTGGCTTCATGCTGTCTAAGGTAAGCAAGCCTTTCAACTGTCCAAGCTTTTAGAGGGCGCTAATAATGCTGTCATTGTAAATGGTTTTTCTGTGCAAACTGCAATTTAAGTGACACAAAAATCCCCCTTTAAAGCAAATCAGGAGCGCATTGAGGAAAATAATTACTTGACTCATTAGAACACCACTTCAAGGCAACCTAGAGACAAATTGCACGCTTTAATTTGCACCTTTAGGCTGGAGATCTAAAATGGTCCATGTTCCTTAAACTACTAAAACTTATGCACTAGAAGAAGTGATACCACTTACTGCTTTACAGTTAAAATTGAAACATAATTGATCTAATCCTTGCTTACCTTGAAACCTGATTAACTTTTACATTTTGTGATCTCACAACCACAAAGAATTTTTTTCATGGTTCAGACCAACACAAAGTAGTGCGTAAATGTAAAGTAAAACAGAAACGTAGCATTGTCATAAACCTTTTTTTTTTATTATTATTGAAGATCTGAACTGTTAGATCGGGATAGGGGAGTGGCGGCCTAGTGGTTAGGGCATAGAGGGCATAGAGCTTGGAATACTGAGGTTCTAAGTTTGAGCCCCACTGGTTCTCTGAGCAAGATCCTTAACCCCACACTGCTCCCCGGGAGCCCAATGATGGCAGCCCACTGCTCCCCAAAGGGATGGGTTACATGCAGAGGTAAATTTTCCAATGTGAGATCAATAAAGTTCAGTTATAAGGATTCAACTATTTTGAATCAATACTGTAGAAACAAATTTCACTGCAGGAAAAACTGCAGTTTTTTTTGGGAGTATGCCTCTCCATTTTTTGTTATCTAGTCACTAAAATATTTGCACTTCTTTCTTTTAATAAAACTCCGAAACAGTCAGATTGGATGGAGTGCATCTATGGACATTCGGTTACAAGATTTATCGCAGATTCTCTATTTGATATTTTCCCTAGACTTGGACTAGGGAATTCTAAACACATCATCTTTTATTCTGAACTATTCCATTGAAGCTGTGGTGGTATAATTGAAATATTGCCCATCTGGTGGGTGAACCTCTGCCCCCATTCCTTTCTCTTTGTTGCGGTCTCTTAACTAATGTTCTTAACATAATTTCTAAAAGAAAAACAAATCCTATTTTCCTTTTCCATTTACCACACTGCTTTGTGTTGATCTACACATGTGAATCATAGATTCTACTATAAAGTTTGTGATTGTGAGAAGATATATTTCTTTTAAAATAACAAAACATCAAAGGAGTATGGGTGCTTTTTGTGGAAATTTATTTGAATAATATGATCACATTTCTATGGAATTTTGATAAAATTCCTTATAAGGTTTTATAGAACATTTGATTAATAATAATGCTAATTGAAAAGACTTGTTACAGTTCAAATCCATAATTAATGAGAAGATATTTTATCATGAAAAGCTGGCCAAATTTGAGAGATGTTCTCTTTTAAAATCTGTTGTTTTTAAAGAGGGATTGTCCTGCTGTCCAAACTCCTTCTTTTGTGCCTATTTTTATCTTTTTTAAAGTATAATGTGTTTTTTTTTCTTTTTTTTTCTTAATTTCTGTGCGTGTCATCTTTTTTGAATTATTGCCCATTTAGATTTTCTGTGCTCATAGTGCTGTATGCATGGCTGACAAAGGGCAACCAGTATATCAGCCCTTTGACTCCTCACTCCTTCAGATCTTCATCGAGGACATCAGTCCTGTTTGGTTCAAACTCAACTTTTTGGTTTCTGTTCTTCTTGATTCATTTTAACCAACTATGTATAAGTTTTATTTCTATTATTTTTATTTTTGTGATTATTTGTATTTTTGTTTCTAACTTGGTGTGTATTGTTTTCACCAAATATTTTTGTGCAGTATGTTTCAGTAATTTGTTTAATATTTGTATTTTTGTGTTGTAGTGTTAATTCTTTCTTGTTTTGATTCTGTTAAGATCTTGGAATTTTTTTTCTTTACATTTTCATTTAGGTTTTGTGCAACGGTGCCTTATTGTTGTGCTTTGATTTCCCTCGTGTTCTTCCTTTGAGTCGGAAAGAAAGTACGTAACAGTGAACAAAAAAACGATAATCTAATTGGATACTATTACAATGAAGCGTCAAATTTAAAAACCCAAGTTTTACAATGTAGTAAAAATGCTTTAAAAACTTTTACCTGTCATGATGTGATGCTTGTTTTGAAAAAAGCTACTAATAATTTCTTTTCAGCCACACTTAATTCCACACTTACTGTTTACTGTTTCTGAGTAATACGTTATTTAAATTATGTAAGCCATGAAGGTCCTTATGTGGAATCCTACGCACATTCAAACTCTCTTAATATTTTTTTGATTTACTAAAGTTACTACAAGATCATATTTGGTAACACTTGTCAAGCTTCATTGTCATTTTCTTGGGTTCGCTCACTATTTAAAAGCTCAACGTTGTCATACATTCTCTGTTGTGTCCTATTGTGTGTCTCTTGATCTGTCTCTTTACACAAACCCTTGCAAATATTCTGTCTGAGCCAGGTTTAAGATGTAACAAATCACAATCCATGTTTTTGTGTACAGTATGCACATATGATTGATATTCAGATATGTGTATGAAAAGAACAAATTGGAAAACATGAAGTAGTTAAGCAGTCAGTATCTTACCTGCAGGAACACAAATAGAGAGTTTGCTAAACAGAGATCCTCTGGTTCATATATATCTTTCTCACTAATGCTAGTTCTTTTCTTTGTTGAGGCCTTTTAAAAGTTTCAATTGCGATGTACTGATACATACTGGAGGTAAATAGAAATGAGGACATAGGATTACTAAAGAAAACAGGCATTTAGCCTTGCTCTTAGATTTGCAGAAGGCTGTTTTTTCCAAATTCAGTACATTTTCTTGTGTCAACAGAGACGAAAGGTCGAAAGAATAAGAGTAACTTTGGTTTACTTTGTTCAGCCCCCCTTTTGTCTGCTAAAAGGCTTGCTCTATGGGAGGCTTTATAAACTGCAGACATATTGAAATGCAGAAAATAAAGTTTACTCTTAAATAGTTCCTTAAATCTCTGACTTTCCACTAAATTAAATCAAAAGCAGTTCATTGATGGTGCAAAATACCTTACTTTGAGAGGGCAGCCAAGCTGAAAATTGCCCAACGAGAGATCGGCTGATAACGGTTTTCAAGGCTGATGACCATACCCTCATCCCTGATCCTTGATATGTACTGCCGCTTGTTTGGGGCCAATTCTTTAGGCCCATATAGCTTTTTCTTTCTGTATTTACTTGATAAAAAAGGTGCAATGATAGCAAATGTTACATAAGTCTAAATTAAAACAAATGGAACAATTTAGTAACACAAAGGAAAACATATTAACAATGGATAGCAAAATGGAGGGTGTGGCAATTTATCTGATAGATGAACACATATGGCTTCTTGCTGATACAAGAAAAGAACACTAACATACATTAGGCCAAAAATATCATTCAGCTAACGGAGCGATCTAATGCCAATCAGATTCAAACCAAATTTAAAACCATGAAATGACTTTAATTTAGGTGTTTTAAAAGGTTTTTGCTTTGCATAGACTTTTACTGTAGTAGTAGATCTAAGCTTGATTCTCTCATAAGGACTTGAAATTTTCAGTTTTTATTATAGTATATATTACTATATACTATATTCTGCAGATATGATTCTGATTTATTCTAATTACGCCACAGCCCACTAAAAGATGGAACTATCCCTTTAAATCAACTAAAGCAACTTTAGCTTTATTAATAACAACTGGCAGTAACTCTACAGGCTTCTGTGACCTACATACTCCTAATGAGAGGACGAGACACACAGTTACATCTAGTTTCTCCAGCAGACATGTCAGACTCTATGTACTGTATGCACATACTGTGGCTTTGGTAATCATTATGAAAAAAAACAAAACTCTATACATTTAATTATGGGTAACAGGAGATAAACCAATCTTTAACAGGCTATTGACCACATGTAAAGTGATACTGTAGATGGGCAATCTAAGAATAGAAACTGGGCAGTCAGCAAATCCTGTGGATCAAACATGCCAAGGAAGGTTTCCAAGTAGTCCTCTTTACTGTGCTGCTATAAAATACATCTAAGAATAATTAAATGTGTATTTGAAACCACTTTACTTGGTATAAACAGGCTGGCCACAATATTTGCTTTTCTTCTCTCTTCCTCTGAGTCTTCCCTCTATATTACTGGCTCCTTCTGTGATTAACACTCATTCTTCATCCCATCCCCAGGCCGCCACTGCAGTGCAAGTGTAACTAAAGTCTGACTCTAGGTAGGTACATGCTCCCTCCATAGTGTAAATTAAGTGTGACTTTGGGCAGAAATTATGTCATCACTGAATACAGTGACAGCCAGACTCAACATTTCCCCTGACAGAGAATCCCTGAGCAGCAAAGCCCTGTTGGTGTTGTTGTAAATGCAGCAGATAACTCAGAGGGGCGATGAACAGACTGTGACAACCTGCAGTGGCTGAGACATGTTTAGCTCTACCTGCATTCCTTTTCTCATAATTATAAATGTTCATTCTCATAAAAAAAAAACATAATTATTTTATTCACTAAAAAAGATGAACGAAACAACCAACCTCATCTAACATCCCTTTTCTTTTTTGATTTAGATTTTTTTTATTATTTCATTTGGCAAGTGTAAAGAAAGCCTTAGGATTAAAAGTACCAAGCTTTCTCTTTTCAGGACATTTCTTTGGGTGCAATTCTTTACAACATTGGAACATCTTTGGAATTGATCCAGTATTGAGCGAGAACACAAACCACAAATGAGCAATGAACCCCTGTCTAAATAAATAATCTTACTTTACCTCCATATGTGTGGAAGTTATACTGGTGTAATATGAAATTCAGAAAAAATAACTGTTTACATCAAGCTTAGCATTTTATTTCCATGTGAACTAGGGGTGGGTATTGGCAAAGAAGTCACGATTCGATTCGAATCACGATTCACATGCCACGATGCGATTCTATCACGATGCATCACGATACTTGAAATATTGCGATGCATTGGGATATTTTCACTGAACACTGTAAGAAAAAGATACACCCCTTACCAGTGGCTGACTGGCTGGGTGTGATCTGGATAGTGTCTTCAATTGATACATAACTGAAAGCAACTGAATTCATACATAGCTGTATTTATTTAAATTACTTGTGGAGGTGTTGCCATGAAAACAAATACTGGACAGAAATATTACTATTACTGGCATGGACACACTAACAAAAAGATCTTAGGATTCATCAAACTTAAAATAACAAAATGAGGATAATCAGTCCGGACATGCTTATGACACAAAGCAGCAGGCGTCAACACATCCGCAGCGACATCTGCTGGACTGGAAGTTGTATTCCACTTGGTTTGATTGATGTGCGCCAACCATTAATGTATTTTATTTGTTCATTTTTTTTTTTTTATAATCGATTCTTGCCTTCAAGAATCGATTCAGTAGATCACAAAAATTAGAATCACGATGCATCGATTTGACGATTATTTTGCACACCCTTAATGTGAACTGCCATTTCTTTCTTCTTTTATTTGATTGAAATGACATAACAACTGTTAGACAAGTCTCAATTTCAAGACAATTAATAATTTATTAACAAATCAATAAAAAACATATTAACATTGATAGCAAATGGAGGTACCGGTAGTAGCAACCCATGCACCTTATCTGAGCTGCATCCACTAATATATCGGCGAACACAGGTGTGTATACTTTGTGTTGATCCAAGAAAACATATATACTGTACCCCTACAAGGAGAATATGCTACAAAAGGTAAGGCTATTCATTATAGCTTTATGTCCAAGCAAATTCATATAGAGTTAAAGGGAAGGACAACATTTGATTGAAAAATAAAAGGCATTTAGATTGAAGTTTAACATTTCAGTGCAATTTTGAGGAAAAGTGGAGAGAAACAGAACCTCAGCGGGAAATTTTCATAGCAAAAATGCATGATTGGCCAGTAAAATGACCTAAGAGGAGCTGAGCCAACATATCAGATGAGCGGAAAACTGTCATTAAACTAAGATGGACTTCCCGAAAAGCTGATGGCTATTGGTTAGAGAGGAATAGTTGAAAACCCCACAGACCGCCATTGTTGCTGCCTAAGCAAGAATCTTGGCCCCAGGTTGGCCCATAATTACAAATGAAAATAATTTTTTAATTATTATTATGATGATTAATTTAATCATTATCTGATACCACAGTGTATCAATGCAACTAGGTGTGCAAAGGAGCCCAGAACAAATTTTGATGCTGTTAAAGTACATATAGATCATTTTCAGCAGGCTGGATTTTCTTTTTATTGATTTTTTGTCATACTTAATATTTTGGGGAAACTCAATTTGGTGCTTTAATTAGTGTAAAGTTTGATCACTATAGTTTGTGCTTAAGAACCTGGAAGTGTGGATTGTTCCTGTGCTTGCTTTCAAGCCTTATTTACAGGTGGTAATTAAGCATGTCTGCCTCAAAAAGATTGCAGAAATTAGACACATTTCGTCAAAAGTGCAGAGATACTCATATGTGCATTTGATTCCTCATGCATTGATTACTGCAATACCCCTTTCAATTGGCTACCAAGGAAAAGTTGTAGAGGTTTGCAGACGGTTCTCAAAAGCGACCTTTCATGTCTTAAGGCAATCTGGGAAACATATGAAGTCAGCTCTGAAACAGATATGCACCTTCTTACCTCTTGGACCCTCTTCACTTATATGTACCTCCTCAAGCTCTTATATCTCAAGACAATAGCTTTTAAAAAAATCATAAAGAAAACTGTTGGTAAAGGGGCCTTATCTTTAAGTGTCCCTTTCCTGTGGAATAACCATCCTCTGGATATCAAGGTTCTGTGGATCTTTTTAAAGTTAATCTAAAGACCCACTTGTTAACTCAGTCCTAGTCCCCTTAAACTGTACCTTTAGTTTAGTTTTTTAATCAATTTTTATTTTAAATTGCCTCATACTTTCTTATACTGGTCATTGCTTTATAGCAAATAAACAGAAATACTTCACATACTTTCATCTGTGTTCGTCGGAAGTATTAGTTTTTTTTTTTCTTAAGGAAATAAATACCCCTTGTAATAATATTGTAATTTATTTAGATACACCTGCAGATTAGATAAAGAGATAAGGTGTGAGAGATCCACAAAATTGTTTATAAGGAAAAAGACGAGCTCTTAACTCTAGTAGAAGATGGAATCTTGAAGAAAACAGACAACTTCAGCTTTTATGAAGTCAACTAATTGCAAAATGATAACCAAAATCTGCAAGATAGGAACTAAAGAACTGATTGTGATTGCACAACATGAATTTCGGCAGCAAAATGACACACAGCACTTTGTAAAGCTTTCACAGACTGCCTTCGGGGGACTCAGGGATGCTCAAATTGCAGCAGCTGTAGTTGTGTTACAAATGGATGAAAACACTCCTGTCCATTTGCTGAGCTTTGCACTTCTGCTCAGTGAACATTTTGACCTAGATGACTGCTTTAAGTGAAATAGGAGAAGAAATATTTTGCCAACAGCATGTTTCTTTTAGGTAAAATATTTAAAACAGGGGAGATGACTATAAATTAATATTACTGTTGGATGTGTTTGTGGGAAGCAAAAAAACTTTTACACCTTTGATTACACTGTTCCCTGCTGCTACTTGTGGTATTCTCACTCAATACTGAGTTCATGCCAAATATCTTTGATCATATTAATCTTTAAAACAAAGATTAAACAAATGCACATAAAATATACTAATATGAAATAGCAATATATTTGTACAATTAAGTGTTTTTGCACCTTTTACCAAATCAGTGTGTTTCATCTCTCTCATTATTCATCTTTCGGTCAGCTGTCACTCACAGCATGATATTACATTAACTTATTTAGAAAATCAGATAAACTGCTGTTACATAGCCTTAAAACCTGAGCTAATCCAGCTAAATTTATTTTGGCTGTACCAGCTAATAGCAAATATAATTTAAGGCATAAAACAAAATACATACACAAATAGATGCAATTAATATCCAGTAGTATAGAATCAAAGTCTTTTCAAATACAGATCAGATCAATCCCGTTCATTTCACTACAATAAAAGTCTTTTCAGTTAAGCTTTTTTTAACATGAAAATTATGATCAGGGCCGAAATATTATTAAGACACAAATCAATAAGTGAAAACTAATCTGATGGAAATTCATGAACCTTTGGGGGTGTAGTGGTGCACATAATTAAAAGCCATAGAGCAAAATAAGTTATATTAAAAGTTGGATTTTTCTGTTTTATCACTTTTTTATGATGCTAAGTTATGTTATTATATTCTTCTGACAGCTTTTTCATTTTCGAACAGTAAAATCTCAAATCTAACAACAGCCTTTCACATTTTTTGTAGCATAAGGAAATGTAAATAATAAATATATTTGAATCCGTTCTTAAAATTCTTTGATCCAGAGCAACTTACAAATGAGGATTTAACTTCACAATTTGAAACATAGATTACAAATAAATAATGATACAGCTATAGATTGAATGTGTAGGTTTTAATAATGATTCAAAACTGAAATTTATATAGTAATATCAATTTAATATCGAAATATGTAAAAGTTTAAGAAAAATAATAATTTTAAACAATAATAACACTTTTTGTGGTAATTTTAGTCAGATACAGTGGCACTCTATGGGTCCTTTTTTTAATAATATGACCTTACAGGTCATATACTAAACAAATATTTTCATTTGATTAAAGGTACTCTTATATTTGAAAACATCAAAGCAAGTAAAACATTTTGAGTTAATGCCTTGGACTAATGCTTAATATTAAGCACAGAACTAAATCACTTCTGGGTGGAAATATTAAATTCTCAAAGGAGTATTTAATTGCTGTGTTAAATCTGTCCAAGAAGATTAAATGGCACAATGGCTTTCCAAATTCCCAGCACTCAAACTCGCTGCTGTTTAACTAAAATCATTTGCACAAAGCTTATTTCACCACAAACATATGTGCAGTTGCACACCCTAGCGAAAAACATGCTGAATTACATGCATGCATTTATTACCAGGATTTTCTCCAGTATATAAAAGAGTTTTGCAGATTTGAAGAAATTGTTATTTTCTAAATGGTTGGTTGAATTTTATTATTTATCTATCAGGTAAGCACTTAAACTAATGAATTTCATAACTAATGCTATAAGAACTTCTTTTACCTCCATTCAAAAGCAAGCATTACTCTACGTCAACAATGAAATCACATTTTACAGCGGTGTATTCACTCCTTTTATAGT